GTGATATCAGGTTGCACCTGTGCTTGTCTGCCTGTCTACACTGTATGTAGTTTAGTTAAGCAAGCTAATGATGACGTGCTGTAGCCATGAATCAGGACAGGAAGGAGTAGAGCAGGTAGCACTAACAACAGTCAGGGTATCTGTTACCTGTCTATTGTTAGTCATCTACAGGCTATTATTAAAGGCCCGACTGAGACGCAGACGGCTGAGTGCAGTACAGCCCACCCACTGCCTCCAGCTGGGAACAACAACATCATCATGGTTTCTTCATGTCTCTGGGAACGGCACTGATGCTGGTGTAGAGCTATGATTTGCTGCTTAGGTCTGTTGCATTAACTGCTAATATGGAAACTGTTGTTTGAGGCAGACAAATTACACAACACACCACCAAACGCAAATGCAACAAAAAATATATGCAATGCAAAACTGATTTTCTAGTTTATATGAAATATGTTTGTATGGGTCTGTTCAGTTAAACACACTGATGATATTCTCGCATGAATTAAGAAAGACAGTCCTGAAGACCTCTGAGTCTATACCTACAGTAAGGGAAGATAATTTTATAGTTGCCTATTACTGGATTGAACAAACAGAAAACACACTGTTGCCCCTCATAAACACAGTTTATCAGCACATATGAGTGAAAGTTGCAAATGTATTGAACTTGTTATGAAAAACAAAATTGCTCATATTCCTCCTGTAAGCCTTTGCCTGATAATTCACTTATGAATGTGTGGGCTGCCGCATGATTGGCTGACTCTTTGCCACTTGGAAATCTCTCAGGAACAGAGATACAGAGAAGCTCAATTGAATCCTGGCAGGTAATCTAAGGAAACAGATGGATTTCAGTTATATTTGGCAACAGATTAGCTGCTTCCTCCATGCTGAGAGAAATCTGCCGTTGCCAACTCCTGTTTGACAACCTGAATATTAGTCCTCGGTCATGAGGTCCTGCTTGTGTGACGTTAAACTGCCTTTTTGTGGAGTCGTTCTCATGATGTTAATTTCCATCTGTTCTTTCACACCCTGGTACGTGCCTTCTGACCTGACTCTTGTGCTAGAACTCGTGCAGAATTTGGCTATTTTTCCCTCACTCTGATCGATGTAGAGAAAAAAAACATTCAGTGAAAGAAGTCCAAGGATCAGGAGTCACAAGAACGTGTCGCGTGTCTCTAAATAAGCTGCTATTTTAGTGAACGCTCCAGTAGAGGTGCTACAGTGAGACTTTCTGCAGAAATAATGCTGACGTGACATTTGGATGGATGGAAGTATGTTGTCTTTTGTTAGCTGATTCAAGAAATCCAATTGGGCCACATGAAGTCAGATATACAGTACAGTAGATAATGATGCAATTTGACATGAACAGAAAGGTTAATGTAACAGACCTATACTGTCAGTTAGCATATTGTCCAGCGCCCTGTTTCTAGAAAGTAAAATAGATGTAAAATAATGTTGTGTTTGTGTTGGTTTATGCGATTAAAGCTACAACCGATCAAACAATCAAATATGTGCATTTTAATGGTTGAAACAATAACGATATTCCCTGTGGATTTCTAACCTTGGAGGAACATCAGACTGTTATAAACCATCTCTTGGCAGCACCGACGAGCTGGGATGGTTTCAAAGATGTATGTAGTTTGTTTTTGAGCCAAATTAGTTCCCTATGATCCAATTATCACATTTTCCTGTAGTGAAGTCTGAGGCCCTGCAGGGTCACGGTGTGGCCATGAGATCCTTTATGACAAATGATTCCTCCTGCAGTGTCGATGCCAAGATGAGGTGACTCCCCAATCTCTTTGTTTAAAAACTGCTGAGCTCTGGGTGTAGCGCTTGTACGTAGTGGTCAGCTTGGCCTGGACTGCACAGTAAACAGCCAGGAAACAGCCCTTCAAAAATAAAGTAGTCAATATAATGATGTATTTGTCAAAAATATGAAAACATCGTGATGGAAAATGTTGCTAGAATGCATGTCTTTGCATCAAAAAGAGTCATTGGTTCACTGGGAGGAGCCCAGTTCATCTGTATGGAGTTGGCATGTTCTCCCCCTGTGCACATGGGTTTACTCTGGGCTCTCCAGTTTCCTCCCACAGCTCAGTAGAGGAATAGATTGATCAGACATTATGACTGACCATAGGTGTGATTATGAGTGTGGTCGATGTCAATATGTGAACTATTCAGGGTGTATTCTGCCTTCACTGACGGCTAGGATTGCCTTCAGCTGGCCTTTTGACCCTGAAAATGATTTAGTGAGAGAGGCAGAAGCAAAGAAAAATGATTGTGTGTCATGATCTGTTCATAATATTAATATACATTTATTTTCTATTTTCACTTGGGGCCAGCTCAAAACTCCATGTCTCTCTTTTAAGTGATATTGTCGTCCAAACGAGGCAAGGTTTATATTATTTGTAAAATAAATAGATAATCAATTTTACTATTTAACTTGGAAAGTCAACAGTGGTTCCTGGAAGTTTAGGCTTTACAGCTGCCCACTAGAGAGCAGTGTGGCATCAGTGTTGCGTCTGAGTTGATGCCCTGTCCTTAATTTATGTGTATATCTATCTATCTATCTATCTATCTATCTATCTATCTATCTATCTATCTATCTATCTACCTATCTATCTATCTATCTATCTATCTATCTATCTATCTATCTATCTATCTATCTATCTATCTATCTATCTATCTATCTATCTTTTAATCTATTGGTTTAATTTTATTACAGACAGTACAGCACAGTCTGAACACAGGGCAGTATTTGCCCCTCAGGGTTCCTCAGCAGCCAGAACATGTAGTACGTCACCTGTGACATTTTACACTCACTCATTTTACTGCCCCATGTCAAATAATACACCTCCCTTATACGCCCTCACTTACATATGCACATGTACTAGTACAGTACACACACTGGTTCTCTCTCTCTCTCTCTCTCTCTCTTTCTCTTTCTCTCTCTCTCACTCTCTCACACACACACACACAAACACTGAGACACATACAAACATAGGCACACTGTCCAGGCAGGAAGACAGGCTCCATCAGATAAATATGAGGCTTGTAATGCAACCACAGAGACAGGGCAGATGGGATCAATAAAGAGAGACATCGCAGGTCATCAGAGGAACACAGCCACAGGATAAATATGGACTGGCTCATCGGAAAACAAAGCAGCGAGACTGACGGGTACGCATGACTGTTCTTCTCTCATGTGTATTCTGACCTCACCTGACACAGACATGCAGACACATTTACAAAACTAAAGCTCTTGTTGACAATTAGGAGAACAGTATTTGAATGTGTAAACTGTATTTGAATTGTCTGTATAAAAATGTTTAGGTAGGAGATGGATGGCTTCACTGGGAGCTTTACTTTCTGCAAACGCTCTGTGTTTAAAGGTTATTTCCTAATTATCGGGATCATTTTTTCTGACAATGATATTTGTTGGCAAGAAAATAGCTTTTCAGATCTGTGTAATGTGAACGTTTGTTGTTGAATCTACTGGTTTGGCTTCTGTATGCCTTCCACAGGGATTTGATGTATCATTGGATTATTAATATTATTTGAGAAAACTGGTGTTTCAGCAGGTGAAAAAAGGCTTAAAAAACTGTGGGCAAAAGTAAGGTGAAAACAAATCAATCAACACATTTCCTGCGGTGGTGTTCAGCTGATGAAGTTGTTCTCGTAAATGAGGTGCATGAAGTTCTGATGTGTGACTGTCAGCGGCATCTTGTTTCTGTTTCGCTTGAATTGACACCAGCTCTCCCGACCAGGAGGGAACGGTTGAGTTGTTAGATGGAAGACAGATGCTAGACTGTCACATGGGGACTGCTGTGTGTGTGTGGGGATGTGTGTGTGTGTGTGGGGATGTGTCTGCCTATTTAGATCCATTTTTGGCAACATCAGCTTACTTTTTTAGAGTAGTCATTAGGGTTGTGTTTTGGCAAGAATCTGGCGATACGAAGCATATTACAATCCAGGGGCAACGATACATATATATTGTGATATACTGCAGTACTATAGGCATGACAGTATATTGAGATTTTTTTCAAACAATTTACTTATAAAAAATGTCAGCAAAGTAAACACTAGAGAAGAAGTAAAAGCAAAGTATTATATTTAACAGAATATAATATCAACAAAATATTCAACAGGAAACTGTGTTTTATTAAACAACATATTATTATTATTAATGTTTTATTCTATTCCTGCTTACCTTAGTGTGGATGCCAAGATGACCTGTCTGCAGGCCATGCACATTCAGTAGTGGTGACTTGTTAAGATAGTCATTGTGGATGGTGACTGTTTTTCCTGGGATATGAATCCCAGTTTTGTAGCAAAGGTCTCTAACTAAAGAAAACACAGACAGAGCCTTTGGTGGACAAATACGTCCAGGCCCCAGAACATTACCTCTGTGACAGTTTTTGCTCCTACTTCACCTAAGTCTTATATTTTTGAGAGTGTTACTGTATTGCTGTATTGCAACCATAGCTGGTTTGTGTTAGGGATACGATATGAGCCGGTTTATGGAATCTAATCGAGCATGAAGTGCTTACTGGGCTGAGGAGAAGTTGATGCTTCTCTCCAGTTTGTCTGCTGTGGAGTCACGTGCAGTTCAAGGTACTGCTCAGATATCACTCAGCTGTGCTACTCTGCTTACTGTGGGGATGCTTGACCATGCTATAGTAACCATGTGAGTGCAAGTTACTCACATGGAGCTGTCATTTTAAAGTTTAATTTGTTTCAAATTAGTCATTGTGAATACTCGTTATATTCACGTGAATGACCTCATGCATCACAATTGCACTTAGAAAACATGTAAATCATTTTCTATAATATGCTGCACATGTTACATATTATAGTTCAAGTATGATTTATGTCAGAGGCATCTTTATTTTTATTTTTTATGTGTGTATTTTATGCTTCATTTGTTTGTTTTTCCTCATCACTTTTGTGTTCTTTAAGCACTGAGTTGTGCGCATTTTTTTTTGTTTTGTTTCATGTCTCAGGATCAAAGAAGAAACAAAGCCTCAGCCTGCACAGTAAGTAGACTGCATTACCCAGGGTGCTATGGGCTTTGACACTTCTTCCTGTCTCTTGGTGCTATGTGCTTTACGTGGCTTTCTAAAAAAAAAAAAAAAAAAAAAAAAAAGAAAGACGTCACTCACGTCATGGAAAGCTGCTGAGACAGCTCCAAGTACTGTGTGGATTTTGAACTTGAATAGATGGATTTTGTGCTGAATTCCTAACAGCTGCCTTCCATGACATCAGTGGCAACAGCTTTTTCTTTCAAAATGCATTTCTAAAGCGGGGTCCTCAATCCCCCCCCTCCCCCCGTCTCTCCTGCAGTGGCTCCTTAACCGACTCTTGCCAAATAGTGTGGACCAAATGCATCTTTTCTGCTTGAAGGAAACTATAGCTGCATTTTCTTTAAATTTAACTCTGACCAGTCTGTCTCCAAAACTGACTCTCTGATTTCCCTCATACGAGCAATGGATGCAGCTTTCATCCCTTTTGGCTGTAGTGCTTTCCTGCTTCCTGTTTCCTACTATCTACTCTGAAGCTGTGTTAATCATCCTTCACTCTTCATCTGTCCTTCTCACAGCATTTTTGAGTAGTTGCTACTTGATGCAGCACTGTCCTTAGCCTCTCTCTCCCTCTCTCTCTCTCTCTCTATCTCTGATTGTGCGTGTACTGATTGTAGTGACTCTCCCTGCTGCTGTTTACGTCTCAGAAACCGTCCTGCTGCTTCCTTAAAAACCCCACTGTAATTTCCCATGATGACCTATTGCGATGTTTCAGTCACACTTTGCTTATTTGAACAGGTGGTTTCCCTTTAGTGGGATCACTGAGCTGGTTAATAACGTTCTTCAGCCCCAGCAAAAGTCCCAAAATGACAAGAAGCCAGAACCAGACGCGTAAGTAATAGCACAGACCCACTTTATATCCTCATGGCTGTCACTCACATGCAGTGGAGTGGTGACCTCTGCAGCTGGATGTTGGTAGTTATGTCCCACAAGGATATTCAGTTCATGAGGGACTGATGATGTAAAAGAAAAAGATAAAGTAACAAAGGATTACATATATATATATACTGTATATATATATATATCTATATATATATATAGTATATATATATATATATATATAGTATATATACAGTATATATATGGTGTAGTTCATTAGTTTGGCACTTAATTCTGGCTAAAATCATGCCAGAGGTATTGAACGTGGCCCATGGGTGTTCCACCATTATCGATTGTTTAAAATCACTTTAATCAATCGATTAAAATAAGTTAAGACATTTCTAAGACAGCAAGTTTAAAAAAAAATCTTTGTGTTTGTGTGTATAAAGGGTGTTTACTTATATGAACAGCCTGTTGGTACTTCATTCTTTGACTGACAGGTGTCGTCAAGATTTAAAATGCTAATAATGGAAACCGAACACTAATATTCAGCTCAGTGAGTGCCAGAAGTATAAAACAGAACCTCATACGCTGCCTGTAGTTCAGCCTCAGCCTGTCATATGTCCGACATCGGGCTTCAGGTTACCGGTTGTTTGTGGCTGCTCCGCTGCTGCGCGGCGGTAAGAGAGCTCTGATACGCTAGCATGGGACAGGACAATAAGCAGCGTATGATTACTCGTCAGGAGTGTCACCCACATTTGACCGTGTTTGACCGAATGAGTGAACCCCTTTGGGATGGGCACCGTGTACCAGCTGTTCCAGTCTCCTCTTGCCTCAGTTTCTCTCCCATATTGAAAACCAATACACATCTCTTTGTTTACATTTAAACGTTGTACTTTACTCTTTAGATATGTTGTTGTTTATATATATACTGTATATATCTGTCTGATTATCACACACATTTGATACAGACTACTGTGGTTTTTGAAAAGCTCGCTATCTTAACCAGCGAACCATCTTCAACCTTCAAAGCATTTTAGGAAGTGATCTGATACAGAGGGAGATGATCATTGGTTGTCTTTAAAAAGTGCGTCCTTGCAGTGAACTCACAGAGCAGTGTCTTTAGCCCAGGGTTTAGCCAATGTCTCTGAGAATGCTTCAGTGTAAGCAGAGATTAGGTGCGAATGCAACACTACTGTTGGTATTTTTATCTCCCTGATCCTCAGAAACAGTGGCTTTACTTCTATCACTCTTCATCACAGCGTTATCAGGCCCTCTGTCAGTAAATGAGATTTGGTGGGACGTGTTAAACAAGACTGCACACTAAGCTCTGCCTGGTTGGCTGTGACACCAGTAGCCCTTTGTTCTTTAAGTGGATACAACAGGGGGGCATGTCGCTGGCATTGTGTCTCAATGTTTTCGAAGGCACCAAGGAAGTACCCCAGTGCTGTGCGTGCAGCTGTCGCATTTGGGCTGTAAAGATGTGGTTGTGGCCAATGGAAGTATGTTTCTCTGAAATGCAGAGCTGTATGTGGTAAAAGGATAGTACTGCTCAATAATTCACAAGTGCTAATGAATGTTGCAGGGGATATGTGGGGCGAAACCAATTCTAATCGCCATATTATGAAGTCAGCCCAGTGTTTAGTTTCCAAGGAGACGCTCAATTGACATGTGTTATACAAAATGCATGCGTAGAGTTCGTGCAGGTTTGTTTTAGGAGCCGGTCAGGGCTGACAATCTACTGTATGGTCAGGTAGACTGCATTAGTAGGAGGCCACCTATAGGACACAGCCAGTGGGACAGTGAAAGGTGGCTTTTATTGTGTATCACCGCCAATGATTTGTGATAAGAACTGTAATATAGTGAGGCATCAGTGATGTTATCCCACTGTATATAACACTGATGGTGTTCTCCGTCTCACCTTACAACTGTCTTGATATAGAAACACAGGTGCAAATGATTCATTAAATGCAGGCTGGAACCTGAGAAAGTGGAATTAAGTGATGTTCTCAAACTTGCAGAGCAAATTTGATACCCACTCCTGATTTAGGAGAGGTGTGGTATCAAAGGGGGAGCTCAGGTTTGAACCTCCTGAGGTCATGGCTTCTGCTTTTCCCTTTCAAAATCTCTCTCTCACTCTGCTCACATCTGGGGTGAAAATCAATTTTATGTTAGGAACATGCATAGGCACGAGCCTCACTCCTTAGCTCTAGTTTGTGTTTCTGTTGGATAGAAAATATTGTCAATTTTGTAAAATATAAAGAAAATAAAGTAGTATAATATGATGTAGTGTTTGTAAGTGGATTTAAACGGGAGTGACCCTCAAATTGTCAGATTAACCTCAAAATGGGAATGTACTTGGATGGATGTTGGTAGTATCCAGTTCATGCTGTGGTACATATGAGAGACTAATGATATGAAAGTATGTGAAAAAAAATTATATATATATTGGACCGTTTTTGTAAAGGTCACCAAAGCAAAGAGAAAAGAGATGGTGTAATGGTGTAATGCTTCTGGAAGATATTTAAAATCTGGTGTTCCAGTAAATTTACAGTATTAACCTGCTAGCTTTGTAATCATAAAATGAGCATGCGTAGAGTTCTTGCAGTTTTTTTTAAGGAGCCAGCTAAGAATCTACTCTATGGTCTGGTAGACTGCATTATAAGGAGGCCATCTATAGGACACAACCGGTAGGACAGTGAAAGGTGAAATTGTCAGATTAACCTCAAAATGGGAAGGAACTTTGGGTCATTCTTGGAACTATACTTGAGTTTTAATCCTGTCACTGAGGCCTTCCAGTGTCATATGGACGCTGGGAGTTTTTTTTTGTGTCACAGTAAATCAAGTGAAAGAATAAAAAACAAAAGATAATTCTCGAAACTTCAATTAATTGTACGTTTGTTTGTCAGTTTTGTTGTACAGGTGAAATACATATCAATACCATTTTATATGTGTGCTGTGGTTGATTTAATATATGGTTCCCAAATGTTTTCTCCTTTGTATTTTTGTAGAAAATAGTATACATTCATAGCTGTTGTGTCACTTCACCACTGAACTTTAATTACAGCTCTGTAAACCCTATTATTTCACTATTCATATTAAACAAATTAACTAAAGTTATAATACAGTACAATTGCCCAACCGTGACATGTAACCATGTGTATGTAATAGCTCCATGCCCCCCACTTTAGGAACAACATTAAGGTAAATGGTTTGGACAAAAAGACCTGATAATTTTACTGCTTATTTGTAATGAAAATATCAAGGAAATGACCTCCTCCATCATTACTTATACTCATGTCTGTCCTTTCCTCTTGCTTACAGGAAGTTGCACCAGCAATTTGAATCGTACAAGGAACAGGTCAAGAAGATGGGTGATGAGTCTAAGCAGACTCAGGATCAGAAGAGTGAAGCCCCGATCTGTGGGATATGCCACAAAACCAAGTTTGCCGATGGCTGTGGCCACCTCTGTTCATATTGCCAAACGAAATTCTGTGCTCGGTGCGGAGGACGAGTGTCTCTGCGGTCAAATAAGGTAAAAGCTGGCTTGCATGAGTGGATACATACATACACACACACACACACACACACAATAATGTTCACAGTACAGATGTCCACTGCCCCCTGGCAAAGTCCTCTGTACAGCTCTATTTTAGTACAGTTTGAAAACAGTTGCAGTAAAATGGCAAGTTAGGCCGTCAGTGTTTTAGGGGCAGCTAATGTTTATTTCCAAATTCAGTCAGAGGGTCTCTGCATGCATTTATCTTTAAGTCTGTTCTTTTCTATGCGTTGAATCCTAGTTGCAGACTCACATTCCTGCCACTTACAGTGTTTCAGTTTCTCCACTGGAGGGAACTCTTGCTCCTTTTTTCTTCTCTTTGCTCTGATGTTTTATATTAACCTCTCTCTGTTCTCCTCAGACTGAACATCAGGTCTGAGTTATAAATTTGAGCTTCAGTGTTCTTATATCACGTCATTCAATCCTGAAGGCTAAGGCCACTACCTATCACACTCACAGTATCTGTTTCTCCTCTTCCTGCCCCTCTCTGCCTCCTCCTTTTCCTCTTTCTGCTGCA